CAGCAGGGAAGATTGGTGGTTTCTAAATGAGTTTAGTGTGTGAGTGTTTGTGGTCTCTGGAAATGGTGCCAGAATATGTGAGTGCCAGTTAAAATACTCTCTGCAAAGTGAAAGGGCCTGCCATTTGACTGTTAAAGGAGGTGTTACAAAGTGGTGAAAAAGCACATGATATTCAAGCAGACTTTTGTAGAATCCTACCAGCATTGAAAAGTCAAGGTCAGCAAACATCTCTTTTGTGTCATTCAGGATTTGGGATTGGCAACATCACGTGGCAGAGGGAAATGCAAGAACCCCTCCTGTAGTTACGTGTATACAAACAGGCACAAGCCTCGGATCTGTCCAAGCTGTGGATACAATCTTGCCAAAGACAGAGCTGAGAAAACAGCAAAATCCCTGGTAAGGGTTGGAATAGTTGGTCTCATCAAATGGCTGTTGTGGGTGGGCAGGGAAGTTACCTTAGTTTGCAGGTACCAGTGGGAACATGTTAATTTTCTTTCATTATGCTAAGCTTTTCTAATAGAGTGATGTCCTATTGGAAATACTTGTGGTGATGTTTGTGCTGTCGAGCTCCTGCAACAGTGGAGCTCCAGGCTGAGAATGAAACTGAGTGCACTCAGTTCTACCACTGGATGTCTCTGTAGCTTAAAAATAACTGGGGATATCACCCCTGTAGTCACGTTTGTTGTGTCAGCTTTGTTGAACTTCAGACTTCATCAAGAATCTCCCAAGTATGCTTTACTTTGTGGTTAATGTCAATGTAATTAGTACATCTTGTATTAGAGCTTCCCATTTCTAGGGGTTTGCAGTGCAGCTTTACTTCCAGCCTGCATTTGTTGCTGGATGAAGTGGGGATTTTTTTCTGTTGTAAAAAGATGTTTTTCAGTTGTCTGCTCTTCTACATGGATGTAAATAATGAATTTTGTTTTTTTATTTGTGGTGCTTTTGCATTTGAAGCTTCAAAGGTTATCTTTTCTCATTCAGAAGTGGGTTGTTTTGTTGTTTTGAAATTAAAAAAGGAGCTGTCCTGTTCTTAGCTGAAATGCCCACTCAGCATATAGACAGACTACATTTTAGCCTGTGTGGTAATATGGGTCTCCCACTTGCCTTTTTTATTTTGAAGAACAGAACTTTGTGTAGTGTTCTTTAAAAAACAAACAAACAAACTGAGCTGGCTTGTGAGAAACTGGTGCATAAGCAGCTGTGTAAGGAACAGCAGTGCACTTAGCTTGCATTTTGAAAGGCATGTGGCTTATCTCTTCCTTATTTAGGTATTTTTTCTTATTTTCTGTTTTTGTATGTGTTCACCATTCCTGTCACCCAGCTCATTGGTATCTCTGGGCTTTGGACTGATCATTCATCTCCTTGCTACACTAGACAGAAAAACAGGCTGAAATGTTGGCAGAAGAGTTTAAGTGATTAAACAGATTGGCTTGTTTGTGTTCTCACTGTTCCCCTGAGTCACCTAGAGTTTCATTCTCCTGTGCTTGAGCATTTTGGCTTGACAGCATATGTGTGTAAGGATGACAGTTGATCAGTTGTAATTGATCAGTCTATTCTGCACACTGCAACCCTAAGGTCTTATTTAGTACTTGTCTTCTTGCTTCTGGAGAGATGTGCAGACTGCTGTGGCTGACTGAGCAGAGACCACAGGAGAATGTGATTGGTAACTGAGAAAAGCAGTGACGAGTGCCAGGATTAGTGAAGTGTTAATATGTTGGTGGTTGTTCTCACCCTCTTGATCCTCCATCTCCAGTTTAGTGCTAAGTCTGTGATGGTCTAGCAATATTACAGGAGTTCCTGAAAGGCTGCGCTGTAATAAAGTATCTTTGGTGAAGTACCTTAGGCTTGAGGCTGCTCTCTGGAGTGAATGATTGAGCAGTGGAGAAGTGAAGTCTGCTGTGTACAAAGGTTACCCCGTTTCTCTTACCTTTAATTCTTAGGGCTTTGCAATATTTCATCCCTATCCTTGCTTAGTTTAATATGTGAGCGTTTGATTTTCTTCCTAGGAGGTCAGTCCAGGTCAGTCTGATGTGCTGAACACCAGCGAGCCCCTCACCCCATCCCAGAGGGAGATCCAGCGCCAATCCACCCTGCAGCTGCTGCGCAAGGTAGTGCAGGTCCCAGAGAACGAATCCGAGCTGGCCGAGGTCTTCACGCTCATCCATGAGCTCAACAGCTCGCGGCTCATCCTGTCCAACGTGAGTGAGGAGACAGTCACCATAGAGCAGACCTCCTGGTCAAACTACTATGAGTCTCCATCTACGCAATGCCTCCTCTGTAGCAGCCCATTGTTCAAAGGGGGACAGAAGTAAGATTCTGTTTTAGACTTGTGACTCTTTCAACCTCGCGCTGATATTCTTACGTGACAAGCGTGCCTGGAATAGTATTTGCTTTAGCCCCTGGTACTGAAGCTGGTGTCGGGGACACTGCATAAGCTACATGTCTGTAGAAAGGGTTGGGTTGGTTAGAATGAAGCTGTTTCTGTTTCTCCTGTGCAGTGTAGTTTGTCATAGTTACCATTTCTGTACAGCTTGATCAGAGACTGGCTGCTAAATCTAGATGTAATTTATTTTTTTCTTGAAACAGAATCTTTTTCTTAGTCATCCCTTCTTTGTGTCCCAGTCTGATGTTTTGAGGCTGACAGAGGTAAAGTTGTGGGATTATAGATGTGCATGGTGTGATTTCCCTTTTCTCTCTCTTCCTGATCTGAATATTTCCTATGTGGATCTTTTTGCTTAGGATGTTTTTGTTCTTTTAATGGCTTAGTGTGGGCTTGAGTGAATCCTTTTTTGGAACAAACACCCAAATAGAAATATGAAGGACTAAGAAATCACCAGTGTATAGGCTAGATTACCTTAACTGGATTTGTGTGAAAGCCCATAGGATATCTCCTCACTGAGCCTAACAAACATCCTCCTGTTGCCTAAAGCTTGAGGTGAAATGTTTCCCACAGCAAAATGTGAAGTAGTTTATTGTTGTGTTTCTTTCCTCAACAAAAAAGATACTCTTGATACCAGTTAAAGATGTTTTCTTTGCTCTGGCTAATACTAATTGACATTTTTCCAGCAGAGATCCTTGTTATCCTCAGTAATTTTTACAGAACAGTGCTGTCTTGCAGCCTGTCCCTCCCCTTGTGGCTTCCCAACCTGTGCACTGTCGGTCCTTGCTGCAGGGGTGGGCTGCTCAGCCTGGGACTCTCCCTGGTCCTCCAGCTGAACCCCTGCCAGCCAGGGGAGCTGCTATGGCTGATTCCTGTTTCTCAGCTGGACAGCTGTATTTCTGCCACTAGGGCACAACTGGCATTATCCTGTCTGAACTTCCTCCTTCCCAGCTGTGCTGTGGAGGAGCAGGCCCCTCTAGATGTTTGTGTGCATGGACAGGCTCTCAGCTACAAAGTGTTGCTGCTCACCAGTCATTGCCCCACAGCAATAAGGGCATAGATTTTCTCTATGGCAGCTGGGGCCATAGATTTTCTCCACCTCTCAAATACCATGGGCTCAAAAAATGGAGCTGAAGAGATGCTGTAGTGCTGTTAAAAGAACATGAGCAGTGACCTGACTCTCCCAGGCGACAGAAGTAAGATTCTGTTTTAGACTTGTGACTCTTTCAACCTCGCGCTGATATTCTTACGTGACAAGCGTGCCTGGAATAGTATTTGCTTTAGCCCCTGGTACTGAAGCTGGTGTCGGGGACACTGCATAAGCTACATGTCTGTAGAAAGGGTTGGGTTGGTTAGAATGAAGCTGTTTCTGTTTCTCCTGTGCAGTGTAGTTTGTCATAGTTACCATTTCTGTACAGCTTGATCAGAGACTGGCTGCTAAATCTAGATGTAATTTATTTTTTTCTTGAAACAGAATCTTTTTCTTAGTCATCCCTTCTTTGTGTCCCAGTCTGATGTTTTGAGGCTGACAGAGGTAAAGTTGTGGGATTATAGATGTGCATGGTGTGATTTCCCTTTTCTCTCTCTTCCTGATCTGAATATTTCCTATGTGGATCTTTTTGCTTAGGATGTTTTTGTTCTTTTAATGGCTTAGTGTGGGCTTGAGTGAATCCTTTTTTGGAACAAACACCCAAATAGAAATATGAAGGACTAAGAAATCACCAGTGTATAGGCTAGATTACCTTAACTGGATTTGTGTGAAAGCCCATAGGATATCTCCTCACTGAGCCTAACAAACATCCTCCTGTTGCCTAAAGCTTGAGGTGAAATGTTTCCCACAGCAAAATGTGAAGTAGTTTATTGTTGTGTTTCTTTCCTCAACAAAAAAGATACTCTTGATACCAGTTAAAGATGTTTTCTTTGCTCTGGCTAATACTAATTGACATTTTTCCAGCAGAGATCCTTGTTATCCTCAGTAATTTTTACAGAACAGTGCTGTCTTGCAGCCTGTCCCTCCCCTTGTGGCTTCCCAACCTGTGCACTGTCGGTCCTTGCTGCAGGGGTGGGCTGCTCAGCCTGGGACTCTCCCTGGTCCTCCAGCTGAACCCCTGCCAGCCAGGGGAGCTGCTATGGCTGATTCCTGTTTCTCAGCTGGACAGCTGTATTTCTGCCACTAGGGCACAACTGGCATTATCCTGTCTGAACTTCCTCCTTCCCAGCTGTGCTGTGGAGGAGCAGGCCCCTCTAGATGTTTGTGTGCATGGACAGGCTCTCAGCTACAAAGTGTTGCTGCTCACCAGTCATTGACCCACAGCAATAAGGGCATAGATTTTCTCTATGGCAGCTGGGGCCATAGATTTTCTCCACCTCTCAAATACCATGGGCTCAAAAAATGGAGCTGAAGAGATGCTGTAGTGCTGTTAAAAGAACATGAGCAGTGACCTGACTCTCCCAGGCGAATCCATTTTAAAATAGATTATTTCTTTCCTGGTGTGAAATGATGTGAGCTGGCTTAGACTGACATACTGACGAACTGATCTAACTAGAAAATATGAAGTTACTGCAGGACTGGACCGAAAAACCTGTTGGCTTGACTTGGAGCCATCTTTTGTTGTCTGTTACAGTTCCCTTGCTGGTCCTCAGGAGTGCTGGCTGCTGACAGCTAACCGATTACAGGTGGTTACAGCTCAGGTCAAAGTGTGCTTGAACCTGCAGTGTCTGGCCCTCCATAGCTTCACTGATATTTACACAGGTAGGAAAAATGTAAGCATGCCAAATGTACAGCATGACTACAGTCTGAACCCCTTCAGGAGCCTTGAGACTGTACAGGCCATTGTCTTTGCCCAGAAAAGCCTATTCCCTGCCTCAGCGTATTAACTTAAATTATTTCTGACTTGCACTGTTCTGCTCTTTCTGCAAGTTAATCTGTATATGTGAGAAAATCATGTGTGAATGCTTCAATGAGAGAGGCTGTGCCTTGCTTCACTGGTGTAGTTCTCCTCTGTGTGAGTGATCAGTGTTGAGTTCTGCGAGGCAGCCCCTGAGCTCACAGTCAGACCCCTCTGCAGGGTGCAGTTTCTCTTGTTGACTGGCAAGACTCAAGTGGCAGGCACTGTGGGCCTCCTGCAAGGCAACATGGAGCTGGGGAGATGGATTGGCTGCTGTTCCTTGTAGCTTTTTGAAATTCAGTGCAAGTCTGTGAAAGGAGCTAATCTTGTACAGAGGGGACAGTCCCAGAAGAACTGTCCAGTTGTTTCCATTGTCCTCGGAACCGAACTTGTACCAGTATTTTCTGTATCAGTAAAGAATATATTTCTTTGTGCATAGCCCTGCAGAGACAATAACTGTCCTGTTTTAATTGCAGGCCTTTTCAATGTGGGTAACAAGTTGCTAGTGAGCTTGGATCTTCTGTTTGCCATCCGGAACCACATTAAACTTGGAGAGGATCCCAGAGTGGCTGTTGGCAACATCCTCGACTCTGTGCAGGAGCAAACCGGTGCGTTTCCCTTCTTGTTTTTTTACCGTGACACTTACACACCAAACTGTGACATGCTGATGATTGTTAGGCTATCAAGAGGGAAAACTCACCTCTTGTGATGTGGTATGTTTCTGTTAAATTACTTCCTAAACCAAACAGTACCTCTGTGACCAATTCTTTGTAACAATTCTCTGGAGGACAGGTTTGGTTCTCCTACACAGAATAAAAACCTGTCCACTGACTTCAGGAAGTGAAAGCTGTAACAACAGCATGTTCTCTTTTCAGAGAAAAGCCTGAGCCCTGAGGAGCGGGCTCAGCTCCAGGAACTGCTGTGCAATGGCTACTGGGCCTTTGAATGCCTGACAGTCCGGGATTACAATGATATGATCTGTGGAATCTGTGGCATAACCCCCAAGGTGGAAATAGCCCAGAGGAATGTGGAAAATGTCCTGGCACTGAAAAATATAGAGGTAGGCTTCTCACAAACTTCACATCCTGTTGGTGTTCAAAGTGGATCTCGTAGTGACTTTTGCTGACTCTGGTCTTTGTAATGCATGAAAATTACATGAGAGCTCTGTGAGAAGTTTTCTGCTGATGCCTGGCAAGAGGATGTGGCTGGAGTGGTGATGCCTGCACTTCCTCTTAGAGGTGTTGATGTATGGTTTGGGGAAAACAAGATCCTCTGTCCCTGGACCACAGCTGTTGTCCCACAGCCTCTGACAGCAGACACCTTGGATTATTGTCATGAACTTGACCTTCTTCCTTTGACACAAAGGCATTGGTTTTTTTTCCCCAATAGCAGTTTCCTTGAGGTGTTGTCTTCTTTAAAGGAGAAACAAAGCCCTGCTGATAGTGTGCAGCATCTCTGGCTTTTATGTCAAATAAATGGTTTTGACTCTCAGCCCATGGAAAGTGCTTGTGCGGAACTCTAGGAGCCTGAAGGCATCTTGATAGATTTTGGGCTGAGTTGCCTCCTGGGTAGTCCTCATGCCTTGAGTGAGGCTGACACAAAACAGTCAAATTAACTGTGGTTACTTGTATTTGACCAGTGTTTCTTGCTTTTTCTAGTTTACCTGGCCAGAATTCTTGTCATCAAGTGAGGTGAATGTAGAAGACTTCTGGTCAACGATGGAGACAGAGGTGATTGAGCAAGTGGCTTTTCCTTCTAGCATCCCCATCACAAAGTTTGATGCCTCTATTGTTGCTCCTTTCTTCCCTCCACTGATGAGAGGAGCGATGGTGATCAATACTGAGAAGGACAAGAACCTGGATGCCCAGGCAGTGCCAGGTAACTGCTGAGGTTGTTCTTAAGGGAGCACTTTACCTGCTGATGGCTTCAGTCTTCTGGTGCTATTTAGTGTTGAGAACTGATTATGCATGACTCTTTAAATGTTGTATCTGCTGAGCTGGGGTGAGCTCAGCTGTTCTCAGGGTACTTAGCAGCTTGAGCTTTGGTCTGCCCCATGAAGCTTGAATGCACTGGTTGCTCTGATACATCTGAGACTTGAAAACACTGCACCTCAAGTGAGATGTGGTCTGATTGCAGAGGGGTGCAGGCATAACTTGAGTGCTGGTCACTATTTGTTTCATGTTAGACTGATACACGCACTGTGAAAGGTGCAGGACTTGGTGCCTCAAGATCATGATCTCAGTAAAGGGTGAATCCTTTTAACAGAACTTGAAAAACAGAGTTGGAGGTGGATGTGTTAGCCCTGATCACTGGTATCAACATTCAGTGTATCCAGGGCACTGGCTGCATGTAACAAGAAACCAAGAGATGAATAAGCTCAGATGCATGAGAGCTAAATTAAGTCAGCACCCAGTTGCCTTAACAGTTTAGACATTAGGTATAAATAAGAAAACTGGCTTTGCAACTTAACAAGTGTATGAGTTGGCTTTGCAGCCAGGGCTGCAGCTGTTCTAGAGGTGAGCTGCAGAACGGCTAAATGGGCTTCCCTGGAAGTGGAGCTCTGGAGAAGGAAGCAGGGCAGAGATGGGAAGGGTAATCCTGGAGCTGCTCAGTCCGAAGGCTGCAGTCACATTTCTCTGCACCCTTCTGTCACTTGTTTATACTCAAGTCTGTCCAACCAGTTATTTAAAGGTTACAAACAACAGGATAGACAAGTGCTCCTGGAGCCTGCAGCTCTGCTGGACTCAGTCTGGTGACCTCATTGTCAAAGGATGTGGGAGAAGTGTGGTGTGCGATGTGCCTTGGAACTGGTCTGTTCACAGCTTTCTCTTGCTGGCAGGCTGTTGTGTAATCTCTTCTTTTGTAGTCTTCAGAAGAAATTATTTTGGTAGCTTCCCTTCCTGAGAATGAGTGCTGAGACTTGTTTCCTGCCTTTGCAGGCAATGGGAGTGCCTTGGTGAGGCTCCTTCAGGAAGAAAACTTCAGGCTTGAGTTGATAAGCTCTTACAGTGAGGAGGAGCTGCAGAGCTTTCTGACACAGTGCAGCATCCCCTGGGAGGCTTCAGATACAAAGGTAATGGCTTGTTTGCCCACATACTAGCCCACAGGAGTGGAGCTGTTCTTCACTGTCTTTCCCTCATTCACACTTGCCAGTCTAGATAATTAACTTCTCCTCTGACTGCACTGAGGGTAGGGATGGGTTAGGACTGAGTGCCTGCAGATGATAGGATAACTTTACACATGGTGAAATAAATTGAACATTTGTGGGCTAGAAGGAAGGAGGCCTGTAATTACCTTGTCACAGGCTCAGTGGCTTCTAATTGCTTGTCCTCCTCAGGGTGCTGAGTGTGGGATTAGGAAGCTAAAAGTGCAAATTAGGATTTGGGAGACCTTGCCTGGGGTCTTCTCCCTCCCTGATGGAGTCCTTTAATTTTAGCCAAGTACAGACTTTCTCTGGGGCCTGTATTTTCTAGGACCAGCTCTGCTACTCCCTCCTGGCTCTCTATGAGTTTGTACAGAATGGGACAAGTGTCACACAAACATCTGCTCATCACACAGGAGGGAAAATCTACAAAGTGTGTCCACATCAGGTAAGGCAGCCTGGAGTCAGCAATGCCTTTTATTACCTTGCAATTCACTATTATCTGACTTACCAGTGTGGAACTCCCTCATTAAATAGAAGCAGTGGAGTGGGCTGTTCTGGGCCCTGGGAATGAAACCCACTGCCTGGGGGGCTTGGAGCAGTCCTGCAGGAGATTTCAAGGTCACCTGGTGAGCTGAAGTCTGGTCTTGATGTTGCTGCTGAGGTGGAATTGAGAATCACCTCATCCTGAACTAGTTAAAGTGAATGTGTATGAGAAGGGACCAGAACATCTGCAGAGAAAGTACCTGTCTGGTTACAGTATCGCCTGGAGTACCCAAAGAGAAGCTTAATTTTCTTAAGACTATTTTTTTTCCCCATATTTTTTTCAGTTTTATTGTACTGCTTGTTAATGATCTTTTCTTTCCAGGTTGTGTGTGGCTCGAAGTACATTGTAAGAGGAGAAAATGCCAGGGATCATGTGGATTTGTTGGTTTCCTCTCGTCACTGGCCTCCAGTGTATGTTGTTGATACAGCCTCTTCAGTGGCACTGTGTGCAGATGTCTGCTGTCCTGGCCTGACTTCCCAGATGTGGGGCAAAAACCAGGGCTGCTTCTCTGACCCCATGGAGCCTCCAATGGTTAGTTACATCCACCTTTGCACTCTGCTACACCAGTGCAATATGGAGAAGTTTTAGTGAGATTTAATTAACAATTTTTTGTTACCTGTGTTATGCGTGAAGATCATTTAGCCTGTTAAGTGTCTCCTGACTGACAGCTTTACCCAGTGCCCAGCTTCTGAGCATATCATAAAGCATTCAATGTTGCTTACCCAACACTTTATGTATTAGGTTCATGCTCCTTAGCAGGAGGAGATGTGCTGGAGGTGCATTGTACTAGCTCAACTCATGAACTTCAGAGCATGTCACTTATTTTGACACAGCAACTCACATGTCTGAAACTTCTGCTATTACTTGAGAAATGTGAGAGAAAGGGTCACTAGTGCCTTGGATTTGAGTGTACAGAGCCACTTTGGTGGCATTGAGGGCAAGCCTGAATCAGTTAGCCCTCCCTCTGCCCTGGGTCCTCGTGCTGGTTGGAGTTCAGCAAAGCAGTAGTTTTATCTTGTTCCTCTTAGCTGTGGAAAAGCTGCTTCTAGTTCTACCTGGTGTGTCTCTTTCTCTCTCTCCCAGTATGTGTCCTGCCCGGAGCTGCTAGACCAGCACTACAGTGTAGACATGACAGTGGCCGAGCACTCTGTCACACACCCCATCACCAAGTCCTCTGCGCGCCGGATCGTCCACACGGGTTTGGAGCAGAGCAGCCCCCGGGACCCCACAGCTCAGCACCACTGCATCTCCCTCTGCCGGGAGCTGGAGCCCTACAGCGCCATCATCGCCGCCATCGGCCACAGCAGAACCAGCACCGTCCGCCAGCGGCCCATCACCTTCGAGAACGCCACGCACTATTACCTCTACAACCGCCTCATGGACTTCCTCACCAGCAGGGAGATCGTCAACCGGCAGATCCAGGAGGTCGTGCAGAGCTGCCAGCCGGGGGAGGTGGTGATCCGGGATGCCCTCTACCGGCTCGGGGTGGCCCAGATCAAAACGGAAACAGAAGAGAATGACGAGGGGAAGCAGGAGGATGATACAGGTTGCTGAGTAGTGGAACAGCTTGTTGGTTTCTCTCTGTGGTCGCGTGGAGGAGTGGGCTGGGCCAGCTTCTGTGAGGCTTGAGAGTTTATTTTTACAGGTTGGAGGTGTGATGCTGGTGGCTTTGATTGCTGTAAATGACCAAAGAGCTGTGTGCTTTCAGAGTGTCATGAGAGGTGCTGTGAGAATGGGTCTGTTGCTCCCCTTGTGAGGGCTGCAGCTGCCTCCTGAGGTGTGCGATGGACCCCCTGTTCCAGGGTGTGGGATGTTGCCCTCCCTGGAGCTGGGCAGTGGAGAAGGGAGCAGCAGTTCTCGTGACAGGGTGTACACATGGTCAAGCACACAGGTTTTTAAATTCTGAATCTTGCTTGCTGACTTCTTTGTGCATATTGGTGGCAGGGCTGGGTGTGTGGGAGCAGGCATGAAAGGCAGACAGCTAAGATGATTTCCCAAAAAAAATCTTCCGGATAGATTAGTTTAGGACACTGACATCTGCTTGGAAATCTTGCAGAGCTCTTATATACATTGGCTGCAAAGGGTCTTCAGTTAAGGAGGAAGAGCAGCTGTGCAGCTTCAGCCAGCCTCCCTAGTCTGGGATTGCGGGTGCTTCAGATGCAGGAAGTTTCTAGAATTGTTTGTCCCTTCACATAAGCACTAATCATCTATAAGCAGAAATATACACTGAGTGAGAAGTGTTCTGTAAGTTAAGAATTGACTGGTTGAGCCCCAGGGGAACAAGCTCATTGGAGCTTGTAGGAGCACTGTGTGAGGTGGTGGCTGTGGAAAGGACACTAAACATTTCTGGATACTTGTTTGGTGGGGTTTTTTTAGCAGTTTCATTCTGTTAAAGCACTTGAGTTTCTGCTGCCCTGCCCTTAGGGCAGCATCACAAAGTATGTTTGTGGGATCAAGGAGCAATGATGGATGCAGTGTCACCAGAGCACGCAGGGTTTGGTGTTCTTCCCTCACAGGAGAGACTACAGCTGAGAGCTGCATCCACCCATTCAGAGGTAACGTGCCCTGCCCATGTCCACACAGCATGGGGTGGGTTCAAGAAGTCTCCTTCTCCTTCAGAGGGGTGGGACTGAGACCTCTGCCCCTGCAGTGTGTCTGCAGGGCTGCATGCCTTGTCTGCTGCCAGCTCCCTTTGCTAGTGCTGGTGACAAAGTGACAGGGGATGGGAGGTTGCTGTGACCTGCAGAGGAGGGAGGGGGGTGCCAGACTGCTACGTTGCCATCCAGGGAGTTTATTTTGTCTGGGTGAGCAGTGGGGAAGGTTCAGAGGCTTGTGGTGTGGTTGAAAACTCCCTTCTGTGAAGGGGAACCTATTGAGTACCGTACTGTTAAAGTAAATGTATTAAGTCTAAGCAAATGCAGTAATTATGGCTTGGGGTTTTTCTGTTAAGAACATTAACTTATTATAAGAGACATTAGTGACTTTTTTCAGTCAGTGATAAATTTAATAAATTATCTCCAATTTTTGGGGTGAAAATATGGCTAAGTGACTTGTTTTTCATGTACAAGACCTGGAGGACTGAAATGGGAAAGGGCAGAAACACTGCACAGAAACCTTGATTGCAGTCTGCACTGCCCTGGTGGTGGGGAAAAGCCTGGTGTTCTTAAAAGCAAGGTGTTGGAGAGGAACAGCTCAAGAAGTTCTTGCACCAGTGTCACATCACATTAATATAGCTAAATGTTAAAAAAAAAACAGGTTCTGCAGTTGGTTGAATTCCCCAGTCTACCTGCTTTTTTTCCTGCACTTCCCTGCACAGGGCAGGTCCTAAGGTGACTTTCATAGGAGAGCATCTGCAGCAGGTGCCAGTAACTTCAAGATGTGTCTAACAGCCTGGGCTGGAGGTCCTGCTGCATCTAAGACTCATCTGCCTCTGCCCTTGGCATTGCACTGCCTTTCTTCACACACCTGTCTCAAACACAGAAACTGCTGCCAGATATCCCATCACAATTTAAATTATTCCCCCATTAAATCCATGGATGGAGACTTTTTCATTTTTCCCAATTACACACATCCAGTCAGAGCAAAGTGTTTTAAAACCTTGTTTTTAATAATTTGGGTTTGTTTGTATTACACAAGATTGAGTGGTTTTGAGAACTGGTAATTAGAAGTGTGTCTGAGGAACTGAAGCAGAGTTGCAAGCTGTGAGAGGATGGGCCAGTGCATCACTCATGCTCTGATCTATTCCTCTCTGAGAACAGTCCTTAAAGTCTCACTTTGTTAAACATCTTATTTTATTCTCTATAATGCTGACAGATAGAAGTACATTAGCTTTTATTTAGTAAGGAGGAGTGAATCACTTGGTGTTAGCATAAAACTGGGTTTTATATAACCAGAAGTGGCCCACACCATAATTGGCTCAAAGTATGACAAAGGCCACCTGCCACACAGTTTGCCTGAGCTCTGTCAGTGTTTATACCTGGAATACTGAACCTTTACCCATCGAAGCAGGTGAAGCTGCTGAGTAGGTTCTTTAGCTACTTCTGACAGCTACAGGTGATGGGGCCCTAGCTTATGAAAAAAAGTTACCTCAGTGGTACTACTAAAATATACTCAGGAAAATATGTACAAAAAGTCTACCTGTAATCATGACAAAGGCAGTGATTGCTACATGTTCAACTCAGACATTTTGTAGGATGTATGTTGACTTCCAGATCTGTTTAAGCTGCCATTCTTTCTTGGATTGGGGTTGTGTTCAGTGCTCGTGCAGAAAAGCACTGGTTACCTCTGTGTTTTACCTGAGAAATAACTGTCCCTCTGTCCTGTTACTGGGGCGCAAGTTCATGGAACCCTGAGGTTGTCACCTTGACTTGCTTCACTCAATTCCTGCAGAAGCATCAGCTGCAGAGAGGTAGGTTGCATGAGGAAATGTTAATGCATATTTAGTGCTAGATATAGGTAAAGCCTCTACTTAAACACACTCTGCATCATTCAGGGTTAGACTGACAAAGGGAAGAGAGCAGGACCACCAAGAAAGAGGGCTGCTGCTGGTGTGTAGAACAGTTTCAGCTTCAGCACTTAGTTCAAGATGCGTTCATAAAACAAGGGTTCAGTCACGTGAGTGACTTTTGGAAATACCTTATTTGGCTGCAACATGCATTTTAGGAACACTACAAAAGCCAAACACCCCACAGTCTCCTCTGGGGCTGGGGAGGCAAGGGATGTGAAACCTCTCAGCACCTTGTAGAGATGGAGTGTGTAATCATCCTAACAACTCTATGCTACACTTGAGGTAAGACCTGAGGGACCCCCATGGTGAGTCTTGGTGTTGAGTCTCTACCAGCACCATCCTTTCGGTGAGGGAGTTGGTAACACTCACACTTCAGAAAGCACAGAGAGCCAAAGCAGAAGGTGTCGGTGTCCTAGGGCAGAGCTGAGCTCTGCAGAGCCAGAAGGACAGGGATCTACCCCAGGGTGATGGTCCCAGCTAACAGAACTGATAGTTGTTGCTCTTGAGAAGGGGCTGGCCACTCTCCTCTTGCTCACAGGACTCCTCACAGCAGCCAGAGGTATCGCAGCCGCTGTCCTCCTCAGCAGCAGAGGGGAGATTGGTGTAGTCCTTGAAAGCAAAAATCACCCCCAGTGTGTTTCAGTCCCTTCAGTGGTGCAGGACATCTGTCTCTGCACACATGACCAGCTGGGACTGCTGACTCCACACTATCCAGTGCTGCTACCACAGGGCATGGCTAGCTGGCAGGACAGGCCTGCCCATGCTTTGGTGGAGCTGCAGGACAGCTGGTCACAAGGCAGCACACCCTCTGTCCAGCTGCACACCAAACCTGGGGGAACAGGGCACAGCTGCTGCAAATGGAGTTGTATCACCACCCATCCTGCTGCCCACAGAACACTGAACTGCTGCCATCACTTAAAGGTAAGGGACATCTCCAGGAAAACTGTCCAGGAGCTACGTTCAGACAGGGAGAAAGTACATCTCCCTTCCCCCTTATTTCCACAGATCCTTACCTGCTCCTTGTGCACCTCCAGTTCTTTCTGAATGAAGCAGCTGATCTGGTCAAAGGTGGGTCTCTGCGTGGGCTCCAGGCTCCAGCATGCCTGCATGATGCTGTACCTGCAGAGCCAAAGGGGGACAGGGCCCTTGCCTTGTGCTGCTGGAGGGGCTGCACCCTCAGCCTTTTCCCTGCAGCACCTGGAGTTTCAGGCACAGAGCACTGAGCAGCCCCTCATCTTCCTGCCTGTAAAAGCCATGGTCAGTGCAAGTGCAGTGCTCCAGGGAGATGTGAGCACAGAAGTGTACAGAGCAAACTAATCTGTCAACAGGGTGCTTTATGCCTCCAGTACTTTTTGCTTTAAGCTTAAAGTCATTCCCCTCTTGTAGCCTACTCAGGCTTGTCTTCTCATAGTCCTAGAGTCAAAAGTAATTGACTAAAAAAAACTAAGTTCAGGAATATAGACATGTAATAGTTCTCCTGTCTTCCTATCCTTAAACAGAGAAAACAGTGAACAGAGCATCATAACTGACTGCTCCAGGTCTTGCTTTCCCAGGAGCATGGAGCAACTTGCTAGGATCCAACCTGAACCTCAACAGCAGACACCTGGAAGAAGCAGGCAGATGTGTGACCAAGGCCCTTGTGCCATGTCCCTGCTCACTCCCTGGGAAGCAGCTCTAGCTACCCTGTCACCCACTGTGTGTGTCTCAGCACAGCCACTCACATTTCCAAGGGAGCAAAGTCAGGCCTGGCCATCTGGTATCCTTGCTTCACCATGCTGTAGAACTTGCTGTTCACCACCATGCCAGGATATGGACTTTTACCTGTGACAGAACAGGAGCAGAGGCAGCTCTCAGATCAGAGGTTTTAACAGTGCAACCTGGAGCATTGCTGGAGCCACTGCTACTCCTTCTCAGGGAGCTCTGATTTACAACAAATCATCCAGGATCCATTGTTTTTAATGATCCCTCTGGAAGAATAACAGTTTTATAGCCCTGATAAAACCTAGATTTTTGTCAGCCTTCCTCCTTCCTTGGAAATTTTTCTACAGAGACATTAGGGCAGTGGTAAACCATGGAAAACTAGAGGTTTACAAGCTTGCTTCTTTCTTACCAAGGGAGAAGATCTCCCAGAGAAGGATGCCATAAGACCACACATCGCTCTGCACTGTATAAATGCAGTCAAAGATGCTCTCTGGGGCCATCCATTTCACGGGCAGGCGGGCCTGGAAAAGCAAAGAGTCCTGCAGACTGGGACAGGCTGGCAGCTTATGCTACACCCTGCCCTTTGTGCTGCAGCCACACCCTACCCTTAAACCTTCTCTGGTCCCCACTTCAGTTACTTACGTTGCCTTTAACAACATAGTTTGAGTCATTCATGATGTCACGGGCCAGCCCAAAGTCACAGATCTTGGCCACCCGTCCATCTGATACCAGCACGTTCCTGGCTGCTAAGTCACGGTGGATGCACTGGGGGGAAGAGAGAGAGCACCACTGAGACCCAGCCAGATGCACTGGGGTGAAGAGAGCACCACTGAGACCCAGCCAACATCTCCAGTAGTCCCAGCTAATTCCCTGTAGCCGGGGCCTGTCTCTGAAGCAACACTTAAAAGAGGCAAGAGGAACATGTATTGCCTGAAAAGCCCCAGCAAGGGGCACTGTGTCATGCAGAAGGAGCACGGGCTCCCTTTCAACCACTTCATTTGCAGTGCTAAGACAGAGTGACATTTCTTCCCATGTCCTTTTATAATTCAGGGGACTGTCTCAGAGCCAGGGGCTGTTGACACAGAGCCCTCATCTCTGCAACAGTCATTCAGTTACTCTCTGGGACTCTAAATGAGCCAGCTCTGGCAGACAGCTCAACAGCCACTTTCAGTTCCTTGTCCCTGGGGCAGTGGGGATGTTGCCAACATGAGAAAGCTTTGCATCAATGTTCCTGATCTCCTGGAAAGGCTGGGGAGAAAATGTTGAAGATGGACAGGTCTGGGTTCCTCCATGTCACTACCCTGCCCTGATGGACTCCCTGGGGCCCATGGGAGACAAAGGCTCCGGAGGAAACACCAGTCACCATGACCCAGCATGTCTGAGCCCAGCAATTAGAGCTAAGAGGCCCATTTCCAGCAGCAGCTGCCTGGGCTTGGCCACCCCTCCACAAACATCCCAAGCCTTATGTGGTCAGGATGGCTGCTGCCTGCTGGCTAGACTGCATTTCCCAGTTGGGGTGCTGGGGGCAGTTGTTCTGTTGGTACTCACGTTCTTTGATGCAAGGAATGCCATGCCCTGGGCCACCTGGCTGGAAAACTGTAGCAGGTCAGAGAGATTGAGGGGGCGGAGGTCCTCTCTGGTTTCATCAACTTCCTCTGAGGTTTTCCCTGAAATTCAAAGCTGTGTTTTAGAGTTGCTACAAACATGGCAAATAATGTAAGCTGTGCTCTATCCTGGTTCCCTGGGGCTAAGCTAGACAGGATTGCCAAAATAAAACCACAAAAACACAGAAATGAGCCTTTAACTCACCCCTGGCTTGCGCAGAATCAGATGATGCTGAAGAAGATGATGATGACACGGGCCTCATTTCAACATACATTTCCAAACCCTGGCTTGAAAAGCCACTGTCACTGAGGCAGAAGCAACAGAGATGGAGGCAGACTGTTAGTAACCCTCCAGCAGCACCTTCTGTCCTTCTCATCCACTGACGACAAACTACATTCCTGCATGCAGGAAGTGGCTTAGCCAGAGACTTAAGGGCAAAGGGAAGGTCAGTGTTGAAGCTGATTCAGAAGGAAGACCTAGGTGCCCTGTGGTATGGGCTCCATTGCTCCCCTCTTGTCAGGGGACTGCCCGTGGCTGATGGGGAGTTCTCTTGTCCTACAAAACAGTGCAGGAAGCCAAAGAGTTCTGATTCCAGACTGTAGGAGGGCAGACTGGATTGAAACCAGGATTTACGACGGGATACTCAACAACTCTTGTCAAAGACTTGGAAAAACTTGGAACTGTAACCAGCTCTAAACACACATGTTCCCAGTGGCTTTTATATCCTCAAATTCTGCAGGTAAGACCTTTGGTCCCACTCTCTTCCCAGCACAGCCCTCTGCACACTTCTCCCACAGGTACCCAGGCCAAATATTGCTCAGTTCTGTGGCCACCAGAACTCTTACCTGCGGATGTATTTCTTCTCCACATCAACGTTTTTGTAATCAGCAGCACTGTCTAAAGAGGTGTCCAGGGAAGAATCCTGGATAATTATGGATTCAGCCTTCTTCCGTAGGAAATTCAGCAGGTCTCCATAGCGACAGTACTCAGTGATGACAAGGATTGGGCCTGGGAGGGAGGCAGGAAGGGCTCACTGAGAAGTGATGCTACTGTGACCTGTCCTGAGGATTGCTTTCCCTGGGAGGGGCAGCAGAACCCATCCTGCACATCAGCCTGTCTGGAAACAGCCCACAACAGGCCCTCAAAAGTCACAGGTTCAAAGAAGACCACCCAATTAATCTCCTGTCTCTGTTGTGACAGAGGAGAGGTACGGCCTCAGAGGAGCAGGCTATGGGAGAGGTCCACAGGGACACCAGGGCTCTGGGGTCCTACCTCCATAGGTGCATGCTCCCAGCAGATTAACAATGTTCTCGTGGTGTCCCAAGTGGCTCATGATCTTCAGCTCAGACATGAGAGCCTCTTGCTCATCTGTGTCTGCTGATGCTGCAAGACAAGTGAAGGGCTGTATTAAGGAGTGAGAGACAGGGAGGTCACTAAGGGGGAGGACAGAAAAAGCTGCAGACAAAGATAGAACAAAAGGAGGAGACACACTCAGAGAGGAAACTATCCTCTGTCTGTGCCTCTGGCCAGACATATCCACAAAAAGGACAACAGCATGATTCCAGCATCCAGTGCTTGTCACAGAAACATTGAAAAAGTAGATGTTGCATCCTGGAAGCACCACCACCTGTGGTGATCACACACTACATCCTGCTCAAAGGAGCTTGGGAGATTTCAGCCTTTGCAAATTGCTCTGGGCTTACACTTTAGCATCTTCACAGCCACTTTGAGGACTGAATCTTCTTTGCCAAGACCAAAAGCAGTAGCTTCTACCACTTTTCCAAAGGCTCCTGCTCCAAGAGTTTTTCCTGCAGAGAGAAAAAAATTGTGTTATAAGATGCTTTATAGGAAGAGATTGAACAGTTGTCCTGCACACAGCCTTGAGGAGGATGTTTGGTCAGTGGGGAT